CTCATTACTTCAGTAACTGATAGGATTCTGTTCTCTGAACACCCCATTCAGATTAGGAGTGTTTCTTGGCTTTCTGCAGATTGGTTTCTAGGCTTCAACTGCCAATACATAAGCTTTCTGTTAAGGTATCAAATAGTAAGATCTATTAACATTTGTTCATGTCTCAAATTTCTGTGAAGAAGATGCAGGTGATGGGCAAAGCTGGCTGCTGGGTGAAGACTTGCCTATCGAAAGGCAGGAGCAAGGTTAGTTGTGGAATACTGGTGTCCAGTTTTAGGAATGATGATTTTCCAGTCTGTCAGATGACACAGAGCGTAACTGAGAAGTTTAAGTAATTTCCCCACAGTTATGCATCAGAGACAGATGTTTTACCCTGCACATGTGAAACAAGTAGACTAACATAGGAGGCGGAGGTGAATTCCTGCATCTTGCACTTCTCATCTTTCTACTCGTCTCTGGACATCTGTCATCATCATCATCATCATCATCTATCCAGTAGAGAATAGTGTCTCCATCAGGTAAGAGCTTTCTTTTCCTACCTGGGAGCAGTATAGATGCTTGTTCTTTGCAGATAACTCGATGTATGAGCTATGTTACTATTATTACACATAAATATTTTTATTGGCAAATAAACCAGTAGTGCTGCAGATCAAAAGGAAGTCTGTGTTGGTAAGCAGTTTTGGCATGTGGCTGCCATAATATCTGATTGTTACCAGATAGTATTGCAAAGAGGCCTCTTATCCTTTGCAATGTGTTTGTTAAGAAGTCTGGTACTGATGTGCTTTATCAGATGTAAGGCACTGAAACACAGGTGGGATTTATCTGTCTTAAGACAGTGCATCTCCTGATCCTTCCTGCTGCCTGTGTGGCTGCTCGCCCCTTGCCCAGCTACACTGTGGGCCTGCAGGCACTTCAGCAGGGGTGCCCCATGCAGGGCAGGGAATGGCCCAGCTGGATTCCTGTTTCTGCCAGCAGCAAGAATGTTGCTGCCAGCCTTTGGGTACAGCAAACAGGAACAGGTTTGAGGAACAGGCCCGTGACCTGGTGGGTATTGATACTGATTCACGTTAGGGTAACAGCAAGATTGGGTTTATTGTTGCACTCCTAAGCCAGGAGTGCAGTGTCTGCAAATACAGCAAGGATGCTGGTATAGGTGAATTGCCCACAACTATGCAAGAATGTTGTAGAGGAGCCAGCAATCCAGCTGAGACCTCCTGAGCCCTGCAAGGGCTGCTCCTGTTTCCTTGCTAATCTTCTTCACATATTAACTTCCTACCTTGGCATGACTAATGCTCCGAATTAATGTGTCCTAACCTCAAGCATTTTAATGTAATAAAATAGTAATTTATGTCTTAATATGGAATTTAATTTCTGTGCTTGCCTGTCATGTTTCAGGCACCAGAGGGGTCAAAGAACACATGTGGGTGTCTGGGGAGTCATGAATCCCTCCAACTTGCTGTTGTTGGCTGAAGAGACATATCAGGGTACAAGATGCTGTTTGTTGGGACTCCAAAATGAACACTAGCCCCTGAAATGGGAAACACAGCAACATCTGAGAGTTGGAGCTAACTCCTTTGACTCATTTGGAAAAGGGTCAGAACAGGAACAGCTGTATGTGCTGGCAGCATTAGGGGATTAGAGTGCAGCAGTTGTACCTGCTTCTGAGGTTCTGTGTTACTGGAGGACAGAAATGCCATGATTGCCTTCTTTGTTCATCCGCTATACCAACCACTTAAAAAAAACAGGGAGAAAAAGGTCAGAGAAGGTGATCTGATCCTTTTAGGCATCTGTAGCCATTGAGAGCAGTGGTGTTTGGGTCCTGTCTAGTGAGCAGTCAGATAGCCTTGGGGTGAAGTGGGCAGCTGGCAGGAAGAACTGGGGAGACAGAAAGAACATAGCATTACATAGAACCTGCCCACTTGTGTTCCCAGACTGACATCCCTCTTGCCCAAACTCTACTAACATTTGACAGGGTAAAGATGGGTTACTTTTGCTTTATTTTGTAAAAGAAAGCATCTTCCCCTGCCCCAGCAAGGACTAGGCATACAACATGAAAGCATGAGGATGTTGGACTGAGATCATGCCAAAACCCCCTTTCATTTTATGCTATACATTCAGGCCTATGTTTAACTAAAAACATGCTCAAGAGCACCTGTGCCCTCGCCATGCAGTCATGCTGTCAAAAGGAATATTACCTTCCCCTGCACTCTAAAGAAATACTGCTGATCCATAAATATGTGCCTGAGCAAGCTGAGGGCATCACATCTGCTTTAGAGAGCAATGGCCACAGGACCTTTCTGGGACTCTGGGCAAGAAACACGTTTAAACTGTGCCCAACCATGGTTGCAGAGGCCATTGTTCTGTCCTCCCCCTCCCTGACCATCCACTGTGTGATCTGGATTTTGAAGGGAAGACTTGCTCTCTTGGCTTCTGAAAGCTCTCCCCACCTCCAGAGGGGCTGGGGGTAGGTGCCCTTCACAGGACAGAAACTTGCTTTAGGGTTAACATGCATCTCTTCGTACTTGCTGCAATTACTGCATGTCAAATGACCCACGTTAAGCATATTACTAGGGGTGTGCTAACAGCACCAGTGCATTAAACCACAACTGACAGCCTGACCCAGCATTGCGCTTTAAAAGGGCAGGGCCGCAGCGTTGGAGTTGGAATTCTGCTTTAATTAGGCCATTACCTGACCTTCAAAGCTGTATTTTCTTCCTCCTCTGCATGCTATGCTGGAGGAAGGGCTGCTGGAGAAGACAGGAAGAGCCCTATCTGATCGTTATCAGAGGGAACAAAAGCCATGTGTTGCTTTTCCTTTTTGACTGGTGCAATTAGTTAGGCTTGTGTGGAAGAAACATGTCAAGGTAAATGGCCATCTCTGCCTTTTCCCTTGCTCATCCCTGGCAAGGTCTGTCATTTGCTCCTTATGTGAAAGGCTCCTCAATCACCTGTTGACAGCAGTATCCCTCTCACAAGACTTGCAGCATATCCCGATTACGCACCACCACAAGGTACCTTTGCCCAGGCAGTGCATCACGGAGGCCTGTCTCTACACTTAGGCTGCTTTACAGACTGAGTGCACTCTAACTCTCCTCATAAAACTTTATATGAACCCGGGCGTTTCTACATATCTCTGTGTCCCATCCCCCCATCCCTTCCTCCCCTCCAAAAGAAGCTTTTCCACTTCTACAGGTATATAAGGATCTTCCTGTGCAGGGCGTGTGACATCTGTGGTGCTTTACCAGGAGCACGCTGCCACTGTCCCCACTTCTGAGCAATCCTAACCCCTTTTGGCCTCCTTGTCAGAGCTCTTGCATGTCTCCTGTGCTTGCTTTTATTTCTTGGTCTTCTCAAGCAGGGCTCATCTGTGCTAGTGCATTTATCTTTGGAAAACCAGCGAAATCAGTTCCTGCCTGGAACTGCTGCTGGCTGCACCCGGACAACCTCCATAGCTGCATGCTGCAGGTGACTGTCATGGAAAGCAAAAGACCTGTTTTGTGGTGGTTTTTAGCAATAGATAGAAGAATTTGTTTTCTTTTTAAAGTTAAGTTCACATTTCAGTGATGCTCTGCTTATGAGAAAGTCAAAAGCAAAGAACTCCAATGCAAATGCTGAGAGAGAATTCACTTTTAATTCACCCTTAGGCCAATTGCAACTGCATTGCTCCTAGGTTATGGCAGAGAAAGGCATTAAGCTCACTCTATATTCATATCTCAGAAGCCCTTCCTCCCAGGGTGAGCCATGGTCACAAGCCTGTGGTCATACCCTCCATCTCACTGCAGATTTCCTGTGTGGCCCCGGGAAAGCCACTTTGAACTGGTGCTGTCTCCTTCGCTTTGACCAGCTGTGCTGCTAGCCCTTTTCCTCCTGGTGAAGTTGAACGTGTATGAATACCACGGGGGCTCTGTCTGTTCCAGGACTGTGCGGATGGTTTGTGTTTGTCCGTTTGGGTCCTGGACCTCAGCAGATGGTGATGCCTGTGTCACTGATAGGAGGGAAAAGTTTGCAAAACCCTTCTTTCTTTGTGTAATCACAGACATTCTAAGCAGTCTTTGAAGGGTGATGGAGTAGCAGTTGAGCCCATCAGGGGACAGAAATCAGATAATGTGTTAGAAAAGGAGGAATTGTCAGCGATGAGGATAATGGAAACAGCACTGGATTTTCACGGTGCTGTTATGCAGTTACAATAAGTACTTAGCTCTGTTTTCTAACGGGAAAAATGCAGGCATGGCAAGATCCAGTGGCTTCCTCAAGGGCATACAGGAAGGTGGCTTTGTTGGTGCTAATGTATGGAGTGATTTGACCAACAAATAACTTGTCCTGTGCTGTCAGGGAGCCTTGGGCGCGTGGTGCTGGGGGCCCGCTCCTCATCAAGCCCCTGTTCTGCAAACAGGGACCTATGTGTGGCTGCCCAGCTCCAGGGGCAGTGCCATGCTCGGTGGCGTGTGGGGAGGGTGGCTGCAGATGCCCTGTGTGTGTGCGCGCATCCCCTTTTAGGAGGTGGCAACTGTACAGTTACAGTTAATCAGAGAGACCATTTGTGCTTGTTATCGATCTAACTGTTGCCAGAGGGCCTGGTCTTTTAATCTGATGGCATTCAGCGCTGAGCCTGGGGACAGATAAACCATTAACTGCTAAGTTCAGTCTCTGTCAGGCTCTAGACAGCTGCGGAGAGGCAGCGGCGGGGCAGCGAGCTCGGCTGCCACAGACTCGCTGCCCTCGCCCCGTGATGCTGCCCTCTGCCCTTGGCTTCCGAGAGCGGGCACGGCCTCATCCGAATCGTTTCATTCCCTTTAGAGGCTCCTGTACAACGAAAGAGGCACAAACCGCGGCGGGGACGTGAATCACGTCCCTGGGTCGGGAGCCACCTCCCTGCGGAGCCCCCGCGCCGCCACTGGATGGCGCACAAGGAACGGCACCTCGGGGCCGCCGTCTGGCCCCGCCTCTCCCCTCCAAGCCCCGCCCCTCCCCGCCGGGCCCCGCCGTCCGCGCCCCCCCCTCCGTTACCGGTCCCTCCACCGCGCGGGCTGGGGAGCAGGGGAGATGCTGCTCGGTGCTGATCGCTCGCAGCGAGGGACGGGCGGGATCTCCAGCTGGGATAAACACGGCCACTGTTTTCCCTTGGCCCCTTATTCCAAGTAAAGTGTCTTTTTTGGTGGGTAATTTAGTGCTAAATCGAGCCTAATTATTATAATACCATGAAGGGCTGCTTTAAGTTACATAACGATCCTTGCATTGTATTTATATGAATGAGGAATTAAGCTTAAAAGGTTGCTCTTCTCAGAAAATGGATTGCCTGCTCGGTTCTCTCCATCGATTAGTTTAGGTATTTAAAGTGCTGCATTTTATCTCACCAGCCACCCAATAAATTTGTCATCATGATACTTAAAGGAGCAAATTCACATTGTTTATTTTCCCCAGCCTTTTTGGCATATTTCTTGCATATTGCACCTTGAAGCTATATTGTGTTGTATGACGGAAGAACAGTGATAACCCTTCTACTTAAATAAGCACGACAGCGTAACATCTCTGTTCAGCTGAATTGCGAGCGAAAGGGATGCTGCAGTGCGAAATGTGTGTTACATTGCAGTGGATGAAGTGAGGATAGCAATCCTGAAGAGGTTTTCACAAGGACTACAGGCTTCCTGGAGGAGGGTTTGTCAGAATTCCTGTTCGCTCCAGAAACTGGAGTTCATTTCTCCTTGGAGCTGCAGATAACAGGAACCATCCTCATAATTGCCAAGAACTTCAAGACTGCGTAGCGTTAGGGATTTTGAATGTGACATGTGCAACTAAGCAAAAAGAGACAGGATGCACACATGCGTTTCTGTATCATAGATTTCTGAGGAAATAATAGGATGAGGTAAAGTTGCTAAGTGAAATAAGAGCATCTGGTTTTCCTACTGAAGTTTTAACCCTTTTTCAATTGTCTCCAAAAGGCATTGGGGAATTGGGGGGGGGGGGGGCAGTGGGTGGAGATTCTGTGCCATGATGCTCAGAACAGTTGAAAATCATACAGGAAGCACTGCTTAGCCGTGGTTGTGCCCCCTGAGATGGGGTGTTTGCCCTGGTGGTACCCAGGGAGCAGCCTTAGCACACACTGGGCCAGGGTCCAGACACCCCTGTGATGCTGCACTGTGCAAGGAGCAGTGAGCCTCCACCAAGGCAGCCACTTCCGCCACTGCCAGTCTCCAGTGTGCTCCTTCAGTTCCCCTCTCTAGTTTCTCAGGTTTACAGATCTGCTTTTGGTCTCTGAGTGAGCGATTGCCACCCGTTTCCTCACCCCGTGTCCCGGCTGGCGGTAGGAGTACCACTTGAATTCCCCAAACAAAATGGAAGTGGAAAGTCTTGGGCTTAGTTGAAAAGAACAGCGAATTCTGCTTGCAATCTGTAATGCAATTAGCATTATTTGACTTGGCAGCCTTCGGAGGGCCTGCGTGGGCTGCAGGCTGTGAGGGCCTGGAGTCAGCCTCTGTCTAGGAAGCAGGGCTTGAGAGGAACTCTTCACATCTGAGCTCTCTCGGTGGTTTTCCTCCCCCATCTCCATTTCCCTCCACCCTCGGCGTTCGGATGCCACAGCCGTTCGGATGCCACAACCGGTCCTTCTTCCCAGCTGGGAAGGGGTGGAGTGGGTTCCTTTTTCAGCCCCTGCCCTGCTCCACGGCCCCTCTCCCGCCCTGTGGGTGTCTGCATCCCCCCTCCTGGCCAAAGGGAAATAGTTCTGGGTCAGAACTCACTGAGCCATCTGTGTTTTCAAGGCTAAATTATCCCTTGCGAGGGAAATAGCATTAGGCCGGCATATCTGGCTGCTAATTGCTTTAACTGGCTGAAAAGATTTCAGTCTGTTCTTGAGCTGTTTGTGCAAACCGAACAGAAAAGTGTAACCTTCAGATCCTGCCCCGTCCGCAGCCAGAACGTGTAAACAAGTCTTTGGGTAAGAAAAGCAGCACAGAGTTTCAGGCTATGCTGTGAGAGACAGGAAGTTATGGGCAAATTGATTTCACTACTGGGAAAGCAGGGATCTTTTTTTTCCCCTCCCCAAGTAATGATTGTAAAGCATGCTAATGCAATTCAACATTAGTGCATGAAAGTGTGGCCTTATTAATTCAAGACATAAAGGCATCAAAATAAGCTGTTAAATTTAAAATATAATACATATATAATGAGAAAAAATGTGCGAAAGCTTTATTCAAATGAAAATTCAGAATTGTTTGAGCTAGTGAAGTATTTTTTGTGCTGAGTTATGAGCATATGTAATAGATTTAATTATTAATTTCTCCATTGTTCTATGCACACAGACAGGGTTCAAGGCACAGTCATTCTCTGGCTTTCATGGATCTAATTTGTATAATTATTGCCTGAATAAAGAATTGCTCCGATTCCTAGCTCACTTTTTTCCTCTCCTAAGGACTACCTCACTGTTGCGTTCCAAAAGGAGAGCACCTGCTAGTTCTTCAGGAATCAGCTGATCACTTCCTGTGATGAGGCACACTCCTGGTGACGTTCCTTTTCAAGCCTTTTTGTCTAAATGAATTATTGTGCATCCTTTTTAATTTTATTGAGCAAATTACGTTTGTCAAGGTCTGCCTTTGTAAACAAATGGCTAGAGACACATGGATGCATATTGCTGCTGTTCAAGTTCTCCTGTTCTATTTATGGAAGCCAGATGAATGTGAAACAAAAGAGAAAGTTTTCTCTAAAAGCAATTATCTTTCTGCATTCCCATCAGTCTAATTATATTGCAGGGAATTTTAAGGACTCATACGGATAGAATTGAAAGCTTAAAATCATGGCTGAATCCATATGCAAAAGCTGAGCAGAGCATCTTACCTCATGCTAACAAAACACACCGTGCTTCTGTTACACCTTTACACCTGAAATGCATGTATTCATCATAAAATAAGAACCTGAGATCCATGCTATACATATGAAAAGTATTTGTGGGAATAACTACTGAATTCCCCTCCATTTTGAAGTGCTAATATTAATGGGTTGAAATATTTTATCACCTGGGCATTTAGAAAGCCATGGCCCTTCTCTGTGAGTATCTTTAATCTTGACTCTTTGACTTTGGAGACACGTTGTGTTGTTAAAATAGAACCTCTTCTTTGTTTATGGAAAGGTCTTCCCAGACAGTAAAAGGAATAAGGCCCAAGAGCACATCGCAAGGTCCAAACTGAGGAGTCTGGTAAAAATCATTACGTTGACTGTCCTTAGAGAAAAATCATTATGACTTTTAGGAAGCTGCAGCACCAGCATGGTTTGTAAGAAGTCACATCATTCTGGGGGGACTAGAGAAAGTCTGCCAGGAGAGTAATTTTATCCTTTCCATTGTCCCATTAAGTGCTGAGAGCTCTTATTTGAATATAGGGTTATCTTTTCCCTTTAGTTTGTTGAGAAGATGCTGTCAGACCACCAAAGTAACAATTACAGGGATGGTCTAAGGGTGTTTTTACACTCCTATCAGAGCAGAAAGCTCAGCAAAAGCAGCTTCAGGGGTACTTCTTGAGGAGAAGCAAGACCAGGCCTGGCTGAGAGCCTTCTTGCAAAGTAAAGGAAATGGAGGTCCTGCAGCAGGGATCTGCTATACCACAATTACTCCCTCAGCTATCACCTTCCTTTGCAGGGAGGTGCTATGGAAAGGTGAGATTATGGTAGTGCAATTAAAAAACCTTTAACAGCCCTTGTATGAAGAAGGGAAACAGAAGTGTCATGGGATAAATATATGCAGTTTCCAGATTTGAATTTGTAGACTCTATGTTTAAGTGTATGTTTGCACTTAATACTAGAAGTAGACAGATGTATTCTTTCCAGCTAGGTTTTTCCCTCTCACTCCCTCCACTCCTGTTGTATCCAGGGTTGCTGTCTTTTCCCTTTGCTTTACTGCCCTTTTTTTCCTTTTCCATCCTTTCTCATGTCAAACAGAACCATGTAAATTGAACATTTAAAACCCAGCTATGAAGAAACGAGGCATTTAGCCTGACCTTGGCAAACATCTTTTTCAAGTCAGGAAATGTTTATACCTCTCCATGCCATGGCAGAGGGCTGCACAGGCTGCGTGCTGAGAGGTGCCCATCCCACACGGGACTGACTCTGTGCTGCACACCTACAGCAGCTCCAGCCCAGTGTTTTCTTTTCCATGCAAGCCATTCTGACTGCCATGTGTTTGCATTTATTTCTCTTCCGGCTCCGTCCATGACTCATCTGCAGCAGGATGGAGTAGCCAGGGCAGAGCTGGGCCGCCCGGGAGCTCCTTTCCTCACTTCCCAGCCCTGTTTTGGGCAGCTCTCTGGAAGGCAGCCCCACAGTGAGGAGCTTCACAGCAGGCTGCGGAAATGACCTCACTGTGGTCGTGGCAGCTGGGCTCAGCATTGCTTTGCAGGGCAGGAATATCCCCTTCTGGTGCCTTGGTACAAGAGACTAAGATGCTTCTCCCTCTGTAAAGTAATAGAGGCAGCTTTTCTTCACTGTGGCTTTGAACCTTGCCTTTCCCTCTAGGTTACCCACAAAGCATACTGCCACAGGTCTGACGCTCCTAGGTTTTAGTTGAATCCAAACCTAATCTTTTCTTCTTTTTCCAGAAGTCCCATTGGCGCCAGAGTTTTCTTGCGTTCAGCCATGGGCTGGGTTACAGCAAATGCTTTCCTCTCGCTTCCTTCTGGGATCCTATGCCAGGGCATGAGGTACATTGCCATCTGAGGATCCCCTGTAGGAAAGGTTCTTGTTTCAAGGGGGGTTATGCCTGAGCCATAATGGTGTTTTAACTGACTTTTGTTGTTCAGTAAAATCTCCCCCCTCCAATAATCTGCAAATCTGTTACCAATCAGAATATGATACGTATCCTCAGCCAGTTTCAGTGGAGCTTATTTCTATTACATCTGGCAGTGTGTCCAGTGGTGGAGAAAAAAACCTCAACCAGAATTAGCTGCACTGAAATCAGCTAAATCTTGGATGTGTTCAACCTTTTTGGCCTGACTCATTCCGGTTCATGAGAAGTAATTATCTCTTGAGCATCACATTAAAGATCCATAGGCATTAGAGTTTAGGCAATATACCTTCTTCCCAGCTCAAAAAAAATATGTGGGATAATTGATCTGAATGTGCTCCAAATGTGCATATGTCTTTATTTATGAATTCCAATGTGGATTGTTTGGGAGGATAAGGCGGAATAAGGAAAAGCAGGCAAAAACGTTGGGATGTCTCATCTCCCTGGCCATTTCTGTTAGGAATAGTTATAATCCTCTGAAAATGGGTTGTGAAAACCAACAGCACGTTAATAGCACATGTTACAAACACTAAATCCCTTCAACTGGTATTTCTGATTTACACCTTTCCCTCTTTCTTAGATCAGGGAAGCTGCGGCTGTCTGTGGCCAGGCCACTTGCTGGAGAGCCAGGTTTGGGCACTAATAGTTCCACTTTCTAAGGTCAGTGTGAAATGGCACCCCAGCTTCTGCCTGCTGGAGGAAGAACTGCCCTTGGAGCATCAAAAACACTGTCTCCTGCAGGGCATTCATAAACTGGGATGCTGAGATGACCTGTCCCGGATGTGAAGGTGAGGATGGTTGTCCTGAGTCCCAGGACACGGTGGTTGTGCACGTAGGAAACCACAGCCTCAAGTGCTTGGGTACTGCTTGCAGACAGTGTGGTAGGACGCTGCAAAGGTGGCAACGCTGCTGGCTGAGGGCTGGGCTCAAGCCATCAAGCACCCCTGCACTGACACACTCCCATACCTTCCATCATCACTGTGACAGTTGAATCTGTGCTCTGGTATCTTATGGGTACGTAGATGGTATTCCATTGCTCATCCTTCCACCAGCAGAAAATTCCATTACTCCACACTAGCAATGTCACTGCATTAAATAAAGGGCAGCTTTTTCCTTACTGAATGTTTTATTGTGTTCAGCTTCACCCAGTAGGGGAAAACAAGTCTATAAAAGTGCCGCTAGCTTGTTTCAACTCCTGCACGTGCACCCACCTCATTTTCATGCCCTGCCGAGGGGTGTCAGGCACAGCCCGGCTGCCCTAGCAGTCCTGAACTGGCCCAATTTCCTGCAGAGTGCAGCGAGGGCCGTAGATATCAACTTCAAAGGTAAACAATTACCTTTTATTATCACACATGGCTTTAGCTCTACCAGTTTCAAATAGCACGTAATCACAAGTCTGTGATAACATTTACTCCTGATGAGAGAAAATTCACCAAGTACTAAATTGCTGCTGAGATGACGGGAACATGAGCCAGGCAGGAATTAACTCCAATGATGAGTCAGCAGACGTTAATGTCTTGCACCATGCTGGAGACATCTGCTGAGCCGTCCACTGTTGAATCATCTTCAATATTTCTGTGTTATTACCCCTCTAGGAACAAGCACCGGAGAACTTTTGTGTCCCTGTGTTATAAATGCATAAGCTATTTTAAAATAAATATATGCAGGCACATAACAAGTGTATGCATTTAGGTATGTAGGTAATTTTCAGCGACGGGAAGGATGAGCAACCAGCAACTATTTAAAGTAAAACATGCATGAAAATGCTAATAGCAATTGCCTACATTTGGTGTTTTGAAAGTGATAGCTTTGCTCAGTCGTGGCTCTGATAAGCCTGGATGGTGCCCTCATGCCCATGCCATATGCCCTGAACCTTCACACAGACCAGCCTGGCCAAGGTCTCAATGTAAGAGCTACAAGTTCACTAAGAGCTCCCTGTGTTTTGGAAATAAATCCCTCTGGAGCAGCTGCAGGGTGCTGTATTCAAGTGTATCATCACTTTGGCTTTTCCCACTTTTTTCCCACATAAACCCAGAATGTCAATATACATGTGGTTAGATAAATGTAGTAACTAGGTGCAATCAAGAGCATGACAAGAATTCACTGAAGAGGCACAAATGCCTTCTTATATGAGATCCTTTTTCACTGGAGGCTCTGCAACTGTGCCATCATACACTGTCCTCCTTCTGCAGTCATTCTTCGGCTAAGGGCAGTGTTGTATAAGTGGGGGTGCTGGAGGACTGCACTCTGGGCAATGTAATCATTGCACAAAGGAAGAGGCAGAGCTTTTATTTGGGACGTTGTTTTTTGTTGCATTCAGCTTAACTCACTGCTTCAAAACGACTCAGGTTGTTTTCAAGTCCATTGTTCTGGCCTTAATGAATTTAAACTTTTGCATAACATCATTACGCAATTGTGTGCACATGAGAACTGCAGCAATTCAGTGCCAAGCTGCACCTTTTGAAGCCCTGACTCTCTGAGGTCTGGAGGTCAAAAGTTAATTCTAGTGAGATGTGAGGTCTGCCTATGTTTGCCAGAAAGGAGCTTGTTATTTCAGGCACTCTGCAGTCTGTGTGTCACTGCTCCAACTCATGGTCTTAAGGTTTACCCACCCTCAGTTCTCAGACACGACTTAATAAAGCCACCCCAACACACTGAATGTTTTGGAAAGCAGGGTGAGGGTAGGCATGGCTGTTCCCAGAGGGGACATGGGAATCACAAGCTGGCAGTGGAGCTGGTGCTCACTGTGGGGCAGTGGGACTGGACAGCCTCATGGTGCCCATCCTCCCTGTCCTACTCTCCCCCTCACTGCCGCTGATCCCTGGCTTAGCCTCTGACCATGGCTACCTGGCATCTGATGGAGATGCTCTGAGCTTGTGTCCCCCTCCTGGGGCCTAGGGTGGGTGCAGTGACCTGCTGGTCCCCACTCATGGGCCTGAGGACCTCAGGGTTCTGAATGGGTTTGATGCTGGATGCTCAAAATAGCTGTAAGGAAATGACGTGAGCATCCCCTACATTGTGGGGTTTTCACTCAAGCGCTGCTTTTCTCAAAGATCAGCTCTAGCAAACTCATCTCGAGGTGCCCTAAAATAACAACTTAGTGTTTAATGAACATTATGGGGGAATTAAATGAATCCAAACAGTAGCTTGGTTTCAGACTTCTCAGTAGTGGCTGCACAAAAGTGAGGCAGTGTTTTTAGACCAAATAGGAAATCCATCCTTTGAGGGTTGGTTTACAGTCCTCCAGAATTTTCCACAAAGTTAATAACCGAGTGAAGCGTCTTGGCGGGAACGTGATTGTTTCCACTCCTGCCCAGTCATTAGAGTGGTGGGTCAGAAGGTTTTGAGTGAGTCTCCTACCATGGAAGATGCACCTCCATATTTGTTTGCAAAGCTTTCTCCCATTTTCCTTTGCACGCTGAGCTCTTTGGGCACAGTGTGTTTTCTTCAAGTACAAAATGGAGAATAAAGTGCCAGAACATTTTTGTCAATGGTTTCCAAAACTATGGAATTTCCTGCCCAGCTCCATCAGATCAGCCAACAACTTGGTAATTGCTAAAAACAGCCTGTTGATTTTCCTCCCAAGTGTTTCAGCTGGCCTGGCTGAGCTTTCTCTTTTCCACTGTCTTGAGATGTTTCTCTCATTCTGCACTATGCTGTATTTTTATGGTCAGCGTATCCTATAGCAAACAATTTCAGGCTAATGGTGGAAGGGAGATTGGATTCAGGTTAGAGATTTGAGCCTGGGACAGGGAGCCAGGAGCGCCTCAGTTCCTGGACTAGATCTGCCACTAAATCAGGAATCCACATAAAGCAAAACCACGTGATGAGCTATTGTACAGTGATTTGATTTTCTCTGCAGAGGAGGAAGTGAGCGTTTGAATGCGGTTCTCTGTTGGCATGCCTGCTGCAAGCAGAGCTGTGACTACAGGTGGGCAGGGAGCAGGTTCCCTCCAAGGGCAGGCTGATATTTGGGGGGGCTGCTGTCTAAATGGGGACCTGGGGTTTTCACCAGAGCGGTACTTGGACTGACATCTCGGTAGTGAATGCAAACAAATTAGTTAAAGTGTGCTTGTATGAAGTTTTCCTGCTGAAAAATTCATTCTATAAAAGCATTTATACTGTATTCTTTATCGTCAGCTAATCCAGCCCAAACTCATTAAATGGCAGTGTGTGGGTTACTCGCTGTCAGTGAAATTATCAAAGGCATTTTTCAGCTGGTGCACTGGGAAAGCATGTGCTCCAATGCCAACTAAAACAATAACGAGGAAATGTTATGATCAGACTTGACCAAATGACCTTTCCCATTTTAGATTAGCTCTTAATTTCAGCGCAAGGGTCATCCTGTGAGAACACTTACAATAAGTCACTGCTCACCTCTCACATGAAAAAAAAGTGACTTATTAGAAATCTCACTGTACTCATTGCAGTTAATGAGATGTGGAAAGCTTTATAATTTGATTTGCTGGACCATATGCTGTAAAGGGATACTGCTGATTTCATTCCTCCACATTTAATTTAAGCAGTATGCAATGGCTTCTTCGTATGGCTACTTATATAATAAAAATTAACTCGACGTATAAAAAAAATACACTATTGTGGGGTTTATTACTCGGTGTGGTTGAGTTTCAAGTGTTTTTCATTGAAACATCTGTAAGTAATGTGTAGGTCTAATTTTAAATCCTGGCAAATATTTCCCATGTAACATTTGGTTTTAGTGACAGGCTTGGAGCAGTGGTTTTCTGAGCTTGTCAGTAACAGAGATGTGTTTTCAAAGATAAACATTTCTTTAATTGAAGATAACTGTGATTCAATGCCAGCTTTTCCTGCCCCTCCTCTGTTTTCAGGCAGTAACGCAGACACTCGTCCCCTCTCCCTGCGCACCCCGGCCATGGCAGCAGCATTGTGGTGGTGCAGGCTGTCCCTCATGCTTGTCCCCCACAGGGAATAAGGAGATGGCGAACTCCTGGAGGATGTCTCTTTCAGAGATCATAGAATCACAGAATAGGGTTGGAAAGGACCTTAAGATCATCGGGTTCCAACCCCCTGTCAAGCAGGCCGTCCTACGTACCCCATAAAGTGCAAACCAAGCTGACTTGTCCATGTGCATCGCACTGCCCGGTAAGGGCGTCTTCGTGTGAGAGCCGGAGCTGCAGCCAGGCTAGGGCAGTGCTGTAATACCTGGTGTGAGGCAAAGAAAGGTCAGTTTGGAAGCCAAATATTGAGATTATTTTCTAAAAGAAGCCCTAGAAAGCTAGAAATGTGGGAGAGGCACTGACAGAAATGCCCCAGCATTATTTGCAGTTAATGCCACGGTGTGCACAAGCTGTAAATGCAAGGACTGTGTGTGTTTCAATGTAACCCATTGGTTAAATTTGAGGTCAATCTGGTGAAGTTGCTGCCCATGGGGGAGTGTTGAGGGAGGCTGTGGCCCTGCGGCACAGCAGAGCTGCCTCAGGTACACAGGTGCCATTTTGTGAGGGGCATGGCAAATGGCGGCTCTGGTCTGTGGCCTCCTCTCTCCGTCTCTCCTTCCCTCCACTCCTTACTGCTTTAGAAACAAGTTTAATCCTGCTTTCAGTGATAAATAATGATGGGACATTATTATCTTCAGACCCAGGCTGTTGAACCCTGAACTGCAGCAGCAGAAAAGTGGGTTTTGGTGTGGGGGGATTGTCTGTGGTGAGGATCTGTGGAGCTAGGGTGCCTGAGGGAAGGCAGCTGGAGCACAGAGGCCTCCGAGCTCCCAGGTAAGTGTGTTGGCATTACCTGAATTTAATGGCTTTGCATTTAGAGAGACAAAAATGTTTCTTTCTCATTCGGAAACCACCTTTAACACTTGTGTGATATGGGTTCAGTGGCTTCTGTGTGTCTTTGGTCTGAGTCTCCTTGGCAGGGATCCCACCGGGGATCGAATCACAGGCCCTTCACGCACAGGCCTCTGGATTGAAAACATGGTACCAGAATCAGGTTTTGATTTTAATACAGCCCTGTTTTCTTTCATCAGGAGTTTTGAAATGCTTCTGAAGAGGTTGGTGATAGTCATAATCTCAGCCACAGTGATTTCTCATAAACATTGAAAGTGGAGCTTTACTGACTATAGCGTCTGTTTTAAATGGCTGGTGGCTCACTTGTTTTTAATATGAACACAAGCACAGAGGCAAGTAAAATCTAATGAAAGTGCTTAGAAGATTTTGTTTTGATACCCCACAGTAGCCCTGGTTTATACTGAAGGGGGGAAAAGCTTTCTTTATAGGCAGGCCTGCAGAAGCTAGAAATTTAATCTTTCTCCACAACTTATTTTATTGCATTTTTAATTTTCTCTTGCGTTGCCCTGACCCTTTTCTATAGCTTTTGACGCCTGGTGCTTAATTACTTATCATTAGCAATGTACATGGGGGCCTTCCTGCATATTTATAAATGTGATCATTAGTACATGGGAAGACAAAGACTTCTTTAAGACCATCATTAGTTATTCTGTTTTCATAGAAATGTTCATTACAGAAACTACCCACCTGGTTAAATAATTATAATTAAGAATTGGTAATCTCCTTTGCATTTTTAACTTGATCTTCAGGACGTGTGTACATAGCTAAAGGAGCCTTGTTTAGCCATCTCACTATCTTTCCTTTTTGATTTGAATTGTCAAGCAGATTTAACTGCTGTGTTTTGGATGTGTATACCCTAAGAATGATTTATGGAAAGATAGGTTATTAAGAAAAAGTTAAAAAAAAAAAAGAAGGAAATCAACCCAGCAATTATCTCTGAATTCATTAACTGCACACTGGCAGCGAGAGGTTAGATAAGCCATTTACTGTAATGCACGGTATGGAGTTAAAGCAAAATGTCACTGAAGCCTGCTTTCTCTGCCCTGTCTGTGGTACTCACTGCAGACACCCAGGCTGCAGGAGAACACTTGCAGAAAGGTATCATTTCCATGTCATGCTATGGTCTTACTTGGGAATGCCAACAATAAATGTGACGGTGTCAGTACTCCTGCTCCAAACCATGGTGGGGAGCTGGTGGGAAACCCATCCTAAATGCATGTGTGTGCCCGTGTGCTGTGATGCTGCAGGGAAGGGAGAGCATCACCCACCCCTCTGTGCCCACAGTGGCGGGCACAGGGAGTGCTCACCTCTGATAAACCACAGCGATGGGAAGACCTTGTCAGTGGCATAAATATCATCTGTAAACAATTAAGCAGCTACTGCTCATTCAGGGCAGTTTTGAGAAGCAAAGGAAGTCTGCAATCAGTTATATCTCCAATTACCATAAAAATATATTAGCCATTCATTCATTTATTAATGATTCATCAGTTAACCACACATAATGAGCAAATAATTAGCAATGCTGTACGGTTGCCAGAATTGAAGAAGTGTTGGCATTTTAAAGATGAAAGGTTGCATTTATGTAAAAAGTCGGGTGGTGATAAAGTTAATACAGGAGATAATTATAAAAGTGGCTGTCCTATTTTAGAGGCTGAGGTCCCACAAAACTTGCCTAATTGAACTGAAATTAATATTCTTCAAAAGCACGCGTGTTACTGCATACTAGCTGCTGCATTTACTCAGGGATCTCCCTCCAGTAAGGTACGTCGCACAATGCAAGTTAATAAAATGCCAGACAGCAAGACTGTGTTCTTTGTTTGCTCGGTTCAGGGCCTTGTGGAAAACAATAAATTGCATTCATGTCAGCCGAGGCCCATCCCTTTGCTAATTACTGTTTGGTGCTGAAATGACTTCTGTGAAATTGGGAGCATGAAGAAACACACAGCCGTACAAGGGAGGCTTTTCAGACTACAGCAGTAAATGTGAGATAGGCCTTAGGCACACAGATGTTAAAACAGTGAATTCCCCTACAGATTACGCTAATGGAAACCCTGTCAGGGTAAGTCAAATCCGGGTCTGTGGTCAAAATCTAATTAATGTTTCTGTACTTAAAAGAATATGAATGCCTAGAGGTGATGAGGAGCGTATGAGAAACTCGCTTGTTTGTGAAATTGCTCATGTGGATGGCAAGCGCCACTAAGCCCTTCCTTACGAGGCAGCACCTGCTGGAGGAGCTGCTGACGCCGCTCTGTGCAGCGCTGCTGACACTGGGCTCTGCCCCTTTTGTAAGTCCTGCCTGAAAATGGCTGTTGAGGCCTGGGCTGCCTCCCCAGTGGACAGCCATTGCCATCATTAAATGTCCCCTCTTCCTTCGGTGCGACCGAGCGGTGTCAGCATCATTGTTAGGAAGTACTTGTAGCTGAAGACCTAAGCAAAGGCCATCTCCTCTTTGTGTGAACACAAAGGTTTGCCTGTCTAGGTTGAGCTTAAGGACACTGCTGGGGCTCTTATGGCACTTTCACAGCTGCAGTGCATGGCCTGTGCAATAGCAGAGGAAATAAATTTATAATGCAACAATCTCTTCGTTTTTACAGGCACAAAAATTCCCCTAAATACTTAAAATAACACTCAGAGTGGGACAGACCTTAAATTTTGAATAAATGAAGCCCTAATCCAGTGTGTTGCTGAAACAAGCTGGTTATTAAAGAAATAAATTTGAAACAGCAAGTGGTTGGAGAATTTTGGATTTAATTATTTAAATCTACTTAAGATAACTCTCTAGCACTGTGTTTGGCTTTCCTGTTGAGAGCATGTTTTCCAGGAAGGGCATCCCACCCAGTGCCTTGGAAGAATTAACTTTCTCATGCAACAGTGGTTTAAGCAGTAGGGACAAATAATTATTATTGTAATAAGGCCAGATATTGTATGGCAACTTGGTATTTCCTGGATGCATCCTGTCATGAAAACTGTACAGTTATTCAGGTGGGCGGAGGGACCACTGCTCTCCTTGGCTAAATGATGAATTTGATGCAGATCAAAATGCTCTTCAGGCAACAGAGTTCCTTTAGTAATGTTACAGAACCAACCATGACTAACAGTACCCAAATCAGCAGGTTTGTGATTGTAAGCTAATTTGAGGTATTATATGTTATTTAATAGGCAAATATTGGGAATTGGACTTTGTTCATTGCTGATTGCTGTATTTCAGTTAAAATCTACTATTTCATCTTTAGGATGTAAGATTGTCTTCTGATGTGGCATAGATCAACAAAGCAATAAATCTGTCTTTCCTTTTGTAGGACCATAACAGGAGCTTCCTGGATTCATGGTCTGTATTTAAGGTAAGAATCAGACAAATGTCTTCAAAATGCCCCCGAGCTGCACAAAACCCTGCAGAGGGACAAGAACTGGGGAGGCATTCCTTGTCCCCAGCCATGACCCAGGCACAGGGGAAGTCAACTTCACCTGCAGCCAGGAGTGAGCAGGGGAGAAAACTCTGGCTCTGAGTCATGTTTCCTTCTCCTGGGCCTGTGCTGGGACAGAGGGATGTGGCCACACTCTGTGCTGGCTTGGCTCCAGCAGGACAAGCATGCTTTATATGTGCTGTGGAAAATAGGGATGGGGTTTTTGTGTTTGAGTTTCTTCACAAGTGATCATTTACGTCTTCAAGGCATGATGCTTGTCTTCACCATTTCTTTCATTATGTTCTCTGCAATACAGCTCTTGCAGGGGGGTAACATGCTAGTTTAGGGGCCAGACTCTGTTGCTGAGTATTGCCAGGGCTCTATCTGTTGTGTTGACCACTGTGTCTCAAGTGCCAACCTCTGTCACAGGGATGAAGCCTTTCACCTTTCCTGATGCTACTGAGGTTTCATTGCTGTAACTGAATGTGTCCCTTTAGTCATGCACAAGGGTGGGATCTTAGGGAGTGATCAGCTTTCTAGTCAAAATCCATGGGGGCAAAAAAAGTCAAATCCAAATTTCTGACTAATCTAGTTAAATGGTTCGATTACTACTCACAGGTCTAATGGTCAACACAGCTGTGTCATCATCTGAATCCACCAAAGTCAACCAATTCAAGAGCTGGTTGAGCACTGAGTTCTCTAAAATTGACAATATGTGTGAGGGTGGTCTTCAAGTAGAACCCGGAAGATTTGCCTGGTTGTCCTCATTCAAGCATGCTCAGTGACTTACCTTGTGAGTATTAGCAATATTTTCTTTCAGAATTTTTTTTTTTTTTTCAGGAAAAGGTAGTCCTACAAATACTCTTTTCTGAAGAAATAATGTCTGTCTTTATGTGTTACATGAGGCAGGTGTTGGTTTAAACCTTAGCTCCTGCTTAAGAGATGTCAGTCGTCAACTGAAGGGTAGACTAGTTCCCTAGATGAATCACTTTTTCCCTCCTTTGTTTTGACCCATTGATTCATCAAGGTCCAATAAAGAATGGGCTGAAAGATTGATAAAAATCCTTTGTTTTTCGTTTTTCCCCCAACAGATCTTCTGACCTATGCTGGTTTGTCAGTGTATTTTTGACTCGCACGTGCCTTCTTTTATACATAAGCACACCGATACAGGTGTCTTCCTTAAAGCCACTTGTGGTTTTTTCCCTCAGTAGTAGATCAGGTTTAATTCTGGTTTTAACCAAAGCAAATGCTTTTCTGGAGATCTTTTATATTAGTGAAAATAAATAATGAAAAAATAACCACAGCAAGTCACAGTATCAAAAGGAAAAACCTTAGAAAGCTTAGTGGTGACCCTTTGTTTCCTTTTCCATTCTCCTCTTGCTGGCTGAGGAAGAGAAATGAAAACTTTGGCTTTGCTTTCCAGTTAAGTACCAAGAATGACTGGAAGCTTATGAAACATGGAGGGGTTTTCATTGAAAACGCTTACTACTTTTCAACTTTGTGTCTTGCCTAGGTCACTGTTAATGCTTCTCATATCACCAACCTCCCCTTTTTCTTTCACTTCTCCTCCCACCAGCTCTGCAGTTTGCGACTCTAGGGTGAGAATAGCTGTTCTCAGTATGCTAATTTTGCTGCTGACCAGGCTCACCTGTATCTTGAAAAAAAGGTGATTACCATGAATGTGCACCCTTTCCACACTCTGCTTCTGTGGTAGGAAAGGACTTGTGGGTGCTGGGGCTTCTGATGTGGCAGGGAAGCAATGACAGCCTTCAGAAGAATCAAAATAAAAAAAGCCCCAGTTGCAACTTCAAAGAATGGCTCTAATTTGCTGTTTGTGGCCTGAAAGGATAGCATCGCTATTCACAGTGGCAGTTTGTGACTGTGAACCTTCTTAGGTGGCTCTCAGATTTGTGTGCTGCAGCAGGCTTGCAGTACAGCAGGATGTGCACTAAACCAAGAATCTGGTTAGTGGTGGTGTGATCCCAGTGCTGGCTGGGAGCTAAACGTGGATGAGAAAAAGCCATCTGGACTTTGGGACTCCTGGAATGTGGCATACCACTTGCTGAGGGCCATCCCTGCCCAGGAAAACACTAAAACAGGTGTATAAATCCTACTGTGTTCAGTGGGATTTAGGCACCTGCTTAAAGTTAAGAGCTTGTTTAGAGAGTTTCCTGAATGAAAGCCTGACAATTGTGCCCAAGAGTAACTTTGAAATAAGTTTTAATTTGCTCATCATAACCAGCTGTCATGAGTCTGTGTAAAAAGGGTTTGATTTTGGAAAGATGAACGACTTCCTACGCCCTTGGCTTTTGTGTAAGTGCTCTTCCCAGATGCCCAGCACCCTGCTGAGCTGAAGCAGCCCTTCTCAGCCCTACTTTTATTCCAGGTTACTCTGTGGTCCCACTTGGGCTCCAGTGCCAGCCCGGCACCCTGCAAAGCAAACTGCCCAGCAACTGAAATTACCCAAGTGCACCTCACCAGCCATATCCTAGCTAAGGCAATCTCTGCAGGCTACAACAGAGGAGAGAGTCCGTGCTGTCTTTAGTAGGTGAGTGCAAAGGAAAGTTAGGGGAGAAAGAGAGAGGAGATCTGAGTCCCAGCTGAAGAGTCTGCTGGACCTCCCACTCAGAAACATAGCAGCCATCAAGTCCTTTTGTGTCACAGGAGTCAGAAAGCTTCAAGAGCTTTTCCCTTTAGGATTCTCCCCCCCCCCCCCTTATAGCCCTTTCTTTGTTACAAAAGAGTTTGAGGCTAAACTTAAAAATAAATCTAATGTTAAACTTACAACAACCAGTCTCAAAGGAATAACAAAATCCAACAAATTCAAATTACTACTTTATTCTGTATGTGCACTTGTTTACATGCATCACCTACTTAAGGCAAACAGGACTGTGTCCATGTAGCTGAGTTAGTATTTTTATTTTTTTTGTCAAATACATTGTTAATTAGTCAATGGATGATACAGTGTTGTATAGCTCTTGGAAAGACTAAATTTGCCATTAAAACATTTAAAAGGCTTTCTTTTGTACAGTCCCTAGGTAATTAAGCTGAAGTGCATGTACATTTCCATATATAAATGTACTGGAGCAATGGTAGCTAATGTAGCAGTTAAGGTCAGGTAGAAACCAGCCTTGCATTTAGAGTCTTTTTTTTCAGTACCTCATGCAAACCATCTCTAAATCTAAATTAATCTTCCAGAAATGTACGGGAAATTTGGTTTATGAGGGGAAAAAAAAGGTCTTGCATTATTACCATAGTCTATCAGTCTTCTCTCAGCATGACTCCATCCATTTTGCAATGCATGGCTGTTCAGCATTGCCACGACTGAACTTCAGAAGACTTTTGCTAGAATAAAGTATATCACAGAAATGGTCACATTGGGGTGCCCCCACCAAGGCAGAATCCGGGATGCAGCCCTGCCTGGCTGCAGCTCAGGGTCTGGGAGCAGATAAAGGGGAAAGCCTTTCCCTAGTCCACAAGAAGGGACTTGGACAGCATGGTGCTGAAGGCAGCTGTGACAAACTGGCTTTGCTGCTGTGGCCCACTCCCCTCCTTGAATACCCCTGCTGGGGCTGCAGCTTCCCTCTCTGCCTCCTGAAGCTGTTCCCTCCCTTGCAGACTTGGTTCTTCTCCTCATTGCCAAGTACACTGACTCCAGCCTGATCTGAAAGTTAATTTTAACAAATAACATCTTGGGCCAAGCCAAGTTAGGATCTGGAGATAGGACACGCTGTGGGAAGGAAGCGGGGTGGGAGGGTGTAAGGGAGCTTGAACGCTCAGCCTTGTAATATGTGTGAGAGCTGATGCTCTCTGAGCAATCGAGTGCTTATTATTATTTCTCTTGGATAGGTCACCTGGGAGTGGAGGAATTTTTCATTTTAAATTAAAAAGAAATCTTTCATAATGCTCATTTCTGAAAGGAAAAAAAAAACCCCTCACCTCATCATGGAAGCAATTAGATGGAGGACACACTGAAAGGAGTGATTAGTTGTTAATTTTTGAGCTGTTGGCCCTGACACAGGGGTTTTTGTCAAGGATTCTTTTTTTTTTTTTTAAAGGTGTCTTTCATATGCCTATAGTCCAAGGTTACTTTTCATTCAATAGCAATTACCATATGTCCATTACATGCTAGAGACTGCTTGAGGTGGATGCACTGGTCCCCATCAGAGTGTATGCCAAGCTGAAACACCAGCAGCTGTGTGAGCCACAGCAGAATTGTTCCTATCTGATGCTTCTCTTTCCCAAGTCCTAGTAAATGTTCTAGGGAGTAACTTCCCCCTTCCTTGATGTGACCTGAAAATACAGCCCTTCAGTTTGCATTGCAGGTTCCAAGTCAGCCGTGTCAAGATTTGAACAAGAATCAAGGAGGATAATGGGTCAGATGTAATTAAGAGGTAAAACTACTGCACATTTCAGTTTTCTTTCTTTCTGCCCATCAGATTGCAAACCACAGTCCCACCGCCACTTCAAAAACCTAATCTGTAACTGCGAATCCTCTATAACTGCTCTGTTGTATCAGATGGAAACCAGCTAACCAGATACCACAATACAAAAAATAAGCGCATTGTACCTCAGAAAAATATGGGGCTGAAAACACAGAAAAAATGCAGTCTTATTAAAATATGGACATGGTCCAGTAATGGAATGAGTAGGGAAACTTGAATGGATCAGAGTCAAGAAACACTCTGCTTGATTCTTGGGGTTTTTTATTTGGCATTCAGCTTACATCAGTGTTAACATCTACAGAGAAATGCAGCCATTTACAATTTGCAGTTCAATGTGTTACTTTAATTAGTATGAAAATTAAAGGGCAACTATAGGCCAATGTGAATGATTATGGAAATACATGTGCATCACATGCAATGCTCTCATTTAATTAATCGTCTTGTAAACTATATCGAGCACTTTAAGTCAGTTGCTGAGTATAACTCTATTTTAAATAACCACTTAATACTTAACAGGATGTGGAGCAAACACTAGAGCACACGACTGCTTCTCAAGTTTCAGTGTCTGAGATTTTTTAAAGCTGACCCAAGTCAACCCAAAGAATGTTTAACACCCTGTGTCTGAACACAAGAAACTCTGTGATGTACAGACATTCAATTACATTGCGAAAAAAGTGAGAAACATTTTGTAAAACAGTGACTTCAGAAAACTAATTGGCAGCAGCAAACTTGAGAGTGAAGGCCAAAGCTAGAGGGGACCTTTTACTACAGTAACTCTAGTCAAGGAAAAGGAAAATAAAGGCATCTTTGTTTCTCAGACAAATTAGCTGATTAAGAAATAAAACATTTTAACATGCTTTAAATGCGGCATTAATTATTTATATGAAAAAAAATTAAAGCCAGGTTCCATGAATTACACTTTGTGTGTGTGAATTGAACATTACAGTAATAGTAATTCTTTTACATTCATGCCTTACTTCATTAGGAAAAAACAAATATTAAGGGCTCTATTCATTCAAAAAATTCTTATGCATTCAGATCACAACTTTGCTGTGGCCATTTTTTTTAAGAGTACAATTTCCAGCACTGATTTTTAACTATGATTCAGAAAAAGCCATCTAATTCTACAGGATGGGCTCTAGGAAACAGAAGTGCTTAGAAAAGGACAGAGATACAGTGATGGGTCTTGCTTGTCACCAATGAAAAGGCCCAGAGTAGGTCATATTGAGTGGTCTCAAAGCTGGCATAATAACATAGAAAATCAGATGCATTATTGGTGGGGAAGCTTTGAACTCTGTGAAGCCTTTTTACTAATCAGTAAATAATTTCCCCCCTCATTGATTGTTTCCAATGACTGGGCAGTGGTTTGTTCAGGTGAATGAAAACCAGACTTGGGCAGGTGTGTTTAGGGATGTACTTTTCTATTTTCCATAGCAATGGTGTGTCCCATGGTTGGCTCCCTGGGAGGAGAGTCCATCCACTGGAGCTGCACTGATTTGTGGGATGTGGTTAAACATCTGCTGGGACGGAGGCTGGAACCATCAGTCACTTGTCTGCTCTTCTTTGAATGCAGACCCATGAGGTAAGGAGCTGGTAAATTCATTGTTTTGCTAAGATATGTGAAAACAAAGAATTGAATTTAGGTTTGTTTCAGCTTCTTTCCTTGAGTGTTTTGTTGATGTTTTTTACTGACTGAAGAGAGGAACAGCTAGAACTGTGCCATAATGATAATCTTTAACTTTCAAAATAATTAGAAGATTCACTTAACATTTAAATATTAACCTTGAGAGAGAGAGAAAATCCCAAACCCAATCCAGAAATCACAAAAAAGGGTTACCCGGAAGCTTGCAAGTTGTCAGCTGGCTGAATTTAAGTAAACTTTTGGGAAACAAAATATTGGGAAATTGGAAAAGGCGTCAGATGGTTGGGTAAGATTGATGTACTTAATAGTTTAGTTAATATGGATCAACATCTGCCTTTAGTTAACATCTGCACAACCCCCTGAGTTCAGCAGAGTTGTACTTTTGCGACCAAGTTTGGACCAATGTTTTTAAATAGGCCCCGGTGCAGAATCTCTGAAGTGAAGGCTGTGCTGCTCAGTGCCGGTGTAACCAGGCAGCTCTGGAGAGAACGGGTAATACAATATGTGATTGTTTCTCATGTAATTTTTAAAATACATGGAGGAGTAATACATTTTTTTATAATAGGGTGCTCCCTGTCTCTTTAAGTAACTGTCAGATGCATGATGTCCTCGTGCCAAAATGCTACAGTCTGCTCCCTCTGTGCAATTGTTAATTAAATCCATCCCTTATTTTAGAGCCTGCCTATTCTCTTTACCCATTCTGCTTATCTGTGATACCAGATGATGCTCAGTAATTCATGGCCAACCTGCTCCCGCCTTCAGTAGGGCCTCCTGTGCACTGACCTTAACCAGCTTCACCTTTTCCTTATTCCCAAGGAGAATGGAGCCCTGGAGGCAACAGTTTTATCAACTTTTCCTGTTGACCAGATGATGATTCAGTGATAAATAAATGAAGTGTGCTTGAGCTAGAGGCCTCCCACATGCTGCCATTCCCTGCCCCTCTCCGGCTCCTGCTGCCTGTTTGAACACAGAGCTATGCAGGGAAAGGGGACTATCCTCAATGGACAGCCTCAATAGGCGCCGCAGGCTGCACCTCTGCTGGAAGGCAATAACTACTTTTGCTTATCCAGGTTATGTTACTCTGCCAGTCATCACATCAGCTGAAAGCTTAGTCTGCTTGGTACTGAGCTATGCCACCTGCAAGCCTCTTTACCCCACCAGTAAGGCTGATATACAGGAGCTGGTAGGAATATTTTCATAACTGACAAGCTGTTTGCCATGAACAGCATCAAAGATTTACAAGCCACTTCTGCAAATGGGACTTTCTGGCAAATATAGGCTAAACAAATCTTTTATTATTACCATACGGCTAGAAATACTCTTAGAGTTCTCCTGGAAATGGGTACTGTACCAGCAGAAAGCAATATTCTGTTGGCCTGTGCATTGCCTCAAGGGTATTTACTATGGTAATAAGATCAGTAATTCATCTCCTAAAATCACTGGGAGTACAAATGCTTATTTAAGTAGATGGTATCTTGATTGCAACTGAGTCGGGAGAGCTCTTAAAGCTGCCTGTTTAGGCTACAGATCTTCTGTTAAAGGCAAAGGGCTGATGATTCTTCGTAAACACAAGAACATCATGTTTCACAGCCACCTTACATTTTCAGCAGTTCATGGCAGATGCATAGCACATCCCTTGACAAAATGGGTGTGTACAAATACCTCAGAAAATTATGCCATTTGGTCAGGGGCTTTTTTCCCACTTTTTTCTTTCCATAGCAATGTAATGGAAAGAAATATAAATTTCTGTTCATCTCCAAATGGTTGGTTAGAACAAAAGGGACAAGGTTAAAGCCATCCAGATCTCATTGTGCTGGGGGATGCAGTGCCAGCAGAAATTAAGAGACAGCTTTGACCCAGTAGGATCTGGGATAAATTATTTGCTTCATCACAGAGTAGGCCAGTGTCAGAGAAGTGTCCTGTGTTTTTGAGACTCTTGCAGCCTCTCATCTGCTAGCTCACAAACTCAGCAGGCCTCTTCTCTGGAAGTCCTGGAGGCAGAAGCCTCCAGTCTTGCTCAACTGCTCCTTTTTTTATTGACTAAGCAGATCAAGAGAAATCATGGTTTCAAAGGCATATAAATGAGTGTTTAAGGACCGAGTTTCTTTCTGCCACAGGAAGTCTTCAAAGGAAGGATGATACAATCTAGAAATACAGAGACTGATCATACAGTTTTATTTGAGGAAAACCATAGTTTGACCTTTGAGAATTCAAAATCAGTGCTTGTAGTCCTGTGTCAGGGAAGCCTCAGGTGGTCCATAGTGGTTCATGTTGGTGATGTGGCATCAAAGGTGAATCACAGCAAAACTGAGCTAGAAATGCTTAAAACAGATGTTCTCTAGTTTGCCAAGAAGCCTGAGCCCTTAATGAGGACGTGTGGCTGAAGCGGAAAGCATTAGCAGTTTTCTTGCAGAATGTTGTTCTGTACTTTAACTTCGTCAATACTGTTCCTTCTTTGCATAGTTATTAAGCTAAATATCATTGAGGCATGAGCAAATTTGATGAGAGGAATATTTGTCTGTGCTCCCTGTATGTTTCAGAAATTAAAGGTTTTTCAGCAGGCACAATCCTGTGAGCCAGAATTTTCAGTCTAATTCTTTTCTGCAGTCATGGAGCATAACAAACATTTGAAATAACTTTCACCAGCTTGATCACCGTTATCAGACAGAGTATATATGCAAATGAAACTAATAAATTTTGCTGGAGTTCTCTGGATTCCACCAGAATGTATGGAATTGTCTTCTATTAGTTAACAGCGCTTAACACTTATGTAGCAATTTCCATCCTCGGTGACAAGCTTATTAATCAATGCAACACCTCTGAAAGGAGCATTGCTATGTATTCCTATTAGAGTGTGAAATTTGAAATGTATGGATGTGCTCTGAAGTGTTGGTTAAATAGCCAAAGTAACCTGGGTTTTGAATTCAGGAGTTTGTGGTTTCTGTCCCATGATTAGTCCCGAGTCCTTTGACACACAGACCCCTTTATGTGTTTAATAGATCAAGCCCTGCTGGGCTTAGAGCCACACATCAGCATGGCCATACTCTGACTTTGAAATGTGGTGACAACACAACCAGTTTTTATAATTGCTGCCTAGAGGACCTGAGATGGGGATACAGCACACTGCTGTGATATGCTGTTTGCAGCTTTGTTAAGACTTGCAGGAGCTAGAAGGTGTGTTTCCAGTGCACAGTAAATAGGGTTGTGCTAAATGACCCCTGCTTTTTTTCATGCTAATAGGTGTGATGACAGTGTTGGGTTATCAAAGAAGTCAATCCTGACATAGTGATGATAATTTTATCTATAGTGAAATATCCATTGAGTTCCTGTATCTCTTTTCTGTGCCCACTATTGTAGGACACTAGTGGAACTGCTGATCTGCTCTTCTTGCAGGCAAGAAAGTGTCAGATGAGAGTGTTTTCACTGATTACATCCCAGGAAAGAGAAAAAAAGTATATTCTGTCCAATAAGCTTGGTTTGGGAAATGAGTTCTTTCCACTGCTACCAGGGCTGCAGAAGCCACCAGGCAAGTGCAGTGAAAAGGGTCTCCTGTAAAGTGTGTAATGCAAGGCAAACCATTTCAGTTGGTGACTAAAGCCATACTAATAAAGCTCACCTCCTGCATAAATCAAGTGATTGATAGCATGTTTGAGAGCTTTTTTGCAGTACCTTGATAGTGCCATCCAACTGCAATAAAACACATGGATTTCTCTGCTACCTTTGCAGATAAACATGTTGAATGTAAGAAGAGCTTCAAGAACAACAAAAAAAGGTACTATAGTAGGAGGGGAACTGTTGAGCATCTCGTTGTTTTGCTCTGTTAGTAGGCAGCCTCTGAGTCTTTGTCAGCAGCCTGACATAAATCAGCCTTCTCAGGGGTAACAGCCCATATGTACCCTGTGAGCCAGAACAGGAGCTTTTGGGATGCCTGGAAGGATGATTCCATATGAGAAAAGCTACCTAAAAATTCACACCTCTCTGGCAAGCTCAGCAGGTATAATACCTTGACAGGACAGACCAGGGCCATGGGCTCCCACATACCTGCCTATAAGGCATAGGCTGCAGTCTCATTCCCACTGCCTGTCTGCTCAAAAAGCTAAGTTTCTGATGCTGCCCGAGGTTTGGGATGGGGGCTTGCAGCTGCTTCTCCCTTGTGGATGCTGAGTCTGGCCCCTCAGTGCATCTGGTGCTTGGTCTCATGCTGTTAATAGGAACTGATTGCTCATATTGAAAAGGACTCTGTGTTTTAAGGATTTGTGCATCCAGACATTGTGAAACATTTGTACCTAAAGCTGTGGAAGCATTATATGAGTTTTTATGACCAAATCTCTATCTGTTTCCTTGTCTCATGCTCATAGAAATCTTGTGTCTGCCATTGGGACCCCACAAACCTTGGAGAAGTTAAGGGGCTTCTGGGAAACTCTTACTGAAATGAATTTTATGGTTAGATTCTGTTCCTTCTCACTAGAGAAGGAAATCCAGGTTCATGGGGCTCCAAAACCTAGGAAAGCACCTTGAAAATACCATGGATGATCTGCTTGATCTGATTCATCCACACACAGCTTGTTTAGAAACTGGTTGCAGCTACAAGGCTTGGGTTTGGTCCAAATATCCCTTAATTTAAAGGTGAGATCTTTATCTTGCTGATGCCAATGTGATTTTTATCACTGGCTTAACTGGAATGAGGGTCTATATTGCATTTTAAACCTCAGAGTTTCAGTTTGACCTATATGTAATGTGAAGACAGCTATTAGCTGGGAAGTCTGAATTTCTAGAACTCTCTCTCTCAATAGTCCTTATTAAATCCACTACTCCAGCATAATGTAGCTTTCTGTTCTAATCATAGCATTGCTGTATTTGGGCATGGCACATGAAAGGGGTTACCTTGCTCTTGTAGAAGAATCCTCCTTAGGTTCACTTACTCTGGGGACCCACACCAC